GAAAGAGTGACCTTTGACCTTTAGATGCAGATGGACTGCTGAGTCTTGTCCTGTGGAGGTGGCTCTTCTATGTTGTGCCATGCGCTTGTGAAGTGGCTGTTTGGTCTCTCCAAACAATGTAAGAAACTCTAATCATTGCTCCAGACCACATGGTCTCAGAAATCAGGCAGCATATCAGCTTCTTAGAGCCTTCTGTTAAATCGAGCCTCAGAAACCTCGGTGTCATGTTTGACAGCTCGATGTGGCTCGATTCTAAGCAGCTGTTTTTTTTTTATCATGTAAGGAATATTTCAAAACTGGGACTAATGGTGTCAAAGTGGAGATGATTATTCATGCTTTTATTTCTTCCCGTCTTTTTATTTGTTTTAACAAATCAGCTTTAAATTGTCTTCAGACTCTGCAGCACGACTTTTAACAGGCACCAACACAAGATCTCATATCACTCCAGTTTTAGCCTCCCTTCACTGGTTGCCTGTAAGTTTTAGGTTTCATTTTAAATTTTAGTTCTAACCTTCATGGCCCTACATGGTCAAGTACATATCTGACCTGCTGAAACCGCGTTCATCTTCCCGAGCTCTGAGGTCATCAGGTCAGAGTCTGCTGGCGGCAAACTCGTGGTGATCGGGCCTTTCAGACAGCAGCACCGTGGCTGTGGATTCTGTTTTTACACCGACTCCATTGATTCTTTTAAAAAACAGCTGAAGACATTTTATATAGACAAGCTTTCAACTAATTTGTTGTTTTTATGTTGTATTTTGCTGTTTTACATTGTATATGTTGCATTGTCATTCTTTGCTTTGTGAAGCACTTTGTGAAAAGCACTATATAAATACATTTTACTTACAGCCATTACAACTGTACCCTGACACACAGCATCGATCTTGACTCTTGTCAGTCAGCCAGGCCTTTCTCTGTAATTGCCTTGGGTGAGAGGAAAAGCTTACAGCTGACTGGAGGATTAATCCATCCTTAGCCTTACAGTCTTACAGTCTCCTCACAGACGCTACCTCTGTTCGCTGCAGGCATGCCTGTCAGCAACTAAACCTGTTCTAACTGGGACATTTCATACCAGGATTTGATTTGATTGCTTTACATCTGATTCGCTCTTTATTCATCTGCAAACATGACTATCAGAACAGCGCGCCCAAACCGGGCACAGCATTTCCAGCCCCGTTTGTATTGCCTCAAAAAGGTGGGTCAGTAGCATTTCTGTTATAGCATTATTATGTATTCCTTTTGTAATATATTTTGATTATCCGTCATTCATTAATAATTAAAGGCTTTTTCATGTTAGGTTCTAGATTTCTATATAAACTGCTTTTGTGAAAAAAGAAAAATACAAAGCACGCGAGCTGCAGTAACCTTGTTTCCCTCCCTGTTCTTAAGATTATATAAAGATTTTTCTGTTGCATGCAGAATCTAATGGATACCCATGCATTTGCATGAGATTTAAACATGATTGGTTTGCCAGCATAAGAGGCTTGCTGAAGCTAATCTTTTAGTCCACCTAAAAGCTAATTAGTGTTATTGTTTGGCAGCATGGTGTCACTGCAGTCTAAAGCATGTGAACAACCTCATCGTTATGCACTTCAGATAAAGATATTAACTTTCATTGGCACAATGAGGCAAAGACACAGGAATAAGATAAACAAAGAAGTATTCCAGTATTAACCTGACTAATTAGATTCTTTTTGAAGTAGGCCTGGTGTTTTACAGTATGAAAGCTATTCTTACCCAGTTTACTACTATTCCAATTGTAAAAAACCCGCGTAAAGAGCGGGGCTGAGCTGTCAACTGATCAACACTTGGTGGTGAATTGGATCAGGTGGCGGGGGCGGTGCTGGACAGACCTGCCACACCTAAACGTATAGTGAGGGTGTGCTGGGAATGCCTGGCAGAGACAGTGGTCCATGAGAGCTTTAACACACACCTCCGGCAGAGCTTCAACAGCATTCTGAGGGAAACTGGGGACATTGAGTCCCAGTCCGGTCTTTAAGTCTAACGTCATTAGCCATGTCTGGGCCCAAACTCCGCTGCAGGTTCCAAAGTCAAACGATCATTGCAGCATTACTGAGAGTTGAAAAACTCTTTAAAGTCTTTCATCTTTCATAAAATGATCAGCGTTCTGCTCTACCAGGTGTCACAATTAAGTTTGACATCCAGGCATCCATAAAGACGGAATTTATGACATTTAACGGAGTTAGACGTTAGCAGGAAGTTACAGCTCTGCTGTCACTTCCAACATAAATGAAGACAGAAAACGTCTGCAGGGTTACTGAAGTTGGGCTAGCTGGTATATAATGATGTGCTACGTGATCGCTAGCGCAACAAAGCTATGTTAGCATAGTATAAATAGTAAAGCTGGAGGACGAACGCTAATGAACGGAGGACTTTTTTCCACTCGATAAAAGTTAACGTGAAGGTTCCCGATAGTTAGGGACAAATGCAATCGCATGGCAGGACGCTGTAAATGGACCAAACTTCAGTCAGGAGAACAACTGAGATAATCCATCCACAATACGAGGTTAGTCAGTAATATACTGCTGCATGGGCTGGGCTGTAGTTACACAGGAAGGGTTTAAAAACTGAGCTTTAAAATGATTAGTGGTAATAAAAACCGAGAGAAGCCGACAGTGAACACTGACTGTTTTTAGAGTCTTTTTTAAAAACCGGATAGAGATCAACAGACTACGTGACTTGCGTGCGTTGCATTGTGGGTACAAGTGGCAGCAAAATCAAAACACTGCATCAAGCTCTAGCATTTCCAGCACCGGTAACCATTCATTCTGCTGTTTTTATCCCTACTTGCATTTTATTTGCCCCAAAACCAGTTATGTACAAAACGAAGAAGAACAGGTCCGTACAAAGACAGACTTGACAAAAAGGCAAAAAAAAAAAGGTACGAGGAAAAACAACAAAGTAATGACAGGGTCAGACCCATACGAGCATACAGAGTGGACTGAAGACAGTGCTGCCCAACCTTCATCACGCTCATGTTTATAATTATATGTTCCTAAGTGTGAGTGCATTCACTCATGAAGTGTTTGGTAACTTCAGATCCTGCAACAAGCCCAGTTCCAGTTTACCGACGGATGGGTACAGGACACTGACATGTTCTGAGTAGCCAGATATGTAGGTGGACAGGTTTTATTCTAAGTGAAGGGCAACCCTTCAAAAAACGGACAGAGCAGTGGAGTAGCCAAGCCAATAGAACAATATAACAATATAAAACTCAACTACTAAAATATAATTTATTTCACAATATGATTTTAAACAGTTAAAAACACCCCTGGCCACTTAGAACACACAGTCAAAACAACACTAAAAGTCCACTGGCGTCAGCCACAGCATTAAAATCCACCAAAATCGGAGCGGGACAAAGAAAACCCGGCGACGTCCCCGGCCGTCGTGTCTGTCTCTTCGCTTTGGAGTACTGGAAGAGAGAGGGGGCAGCGATAGTGAGCGTTTCCAGTGAAGGGATTTCTTGTAGCAAGCTAGTACCTACAATCCTTTGTGGTTTTACCCCGGAAATGACGTCACATTTTCGAACTCTATAGACCATGTTCAGCATCTCCATTGCCTGAAGCTGCTGCACTGAGCTGCGGCTGCAGTTGGTAACTGTTGTGGTGGTAACCCCCGAACCGAATGGTGGACACCAGAGGTGAAGGGGGCCAGCAAGCTGAAGAAGGAAGCCTATCGGACTTGGTTAGCTTGTGGGACTTCGGAGAAAGCTTATAGGTACCGACTGGCCAAGCAGCATGCGGCAATGGCTAAAGCAAAAACTCGGGTGTGGAAGGAGTTCAGGGAGGCCATGGAAAAATATTTTTGGACTGCCTTGCAGAGATTCTGGCAAATCATCAGGCGACTCAAGAGGGGAAAGCGGCGCTGTACCTGCATTATGTATATTGCAGGTGGAGCACTGCTGAACATTGAACATTGTCAGGCAGTGGAAGGAATACTTCGAGGACCTCCTTAATCCCACTGGAGGAAGCGGAGTCTGGGGGTGAGGGGGACGACTCGTCCATCTTTGGGGGTGAGGTCTCTGAGGCTGCTAAACAACTCCCTGGCAGAGGCTCCTGTGGAGGGTGAGGGGCACCCCCTGAGTCCCTGAAGGCTCTGCATGTTGTATTGCTGTCTTGGTTGACACACCTCTACAAGGTTGCATGGAGGTCAGGGGCAGTACCTTCCGTCCTGGTCGTGGAACACTGGATCAGCTCTTTATCCTCTCGAGGATACTTGAGTGTGCATAGGAGTTTGCCCAGCCACTCTAGATGTGCTTTGTGGACTTGAAGAAGGCATTTGACCATGTTCGGGGTGTCCTGTGTGATGGGCTCTGCCAGGGCTGCCCCTTTGTCACTTCTGTTCGTAATTTTTATGGACAGAATTTCTAGATGCAGCCAAGTAGCAGAAGGTTTTCTCTTGGTGGTCAGAAAATCTCATCTCTGGTTTTCGTGGATGATGTGGCTCTGTTGGCTTCATCAGGTGATGGCCCCCAGCTCGCACTGGAACAGTTCGCAGCTGAGTGTGAAGCGGTGGGAATGAGGATCAGCACCTCCAAATCTGAGGCCATGGTTTCAGCTGGAAAAGGGTGGAGTGCCCACTCTG